TGAATTTTAGATGGATTTCTTTAGCTTATAAAGGAGGCTGCTAACGGTTACATAACGTTCAACTTTTTGTCGTGGTTATAAACTGCTAGAAATTTCTAGCGGTTTTAACAGCTAAAAATTTGCATTCAGGCGGTTATACATTTTCTAACGGTTTAGAGCTGTGCAATGGTTACATATTTTCTAACGGTTTATAACCGCTAGAAATTTTAAGGCACCGTGAAATTTGAATTTCTGATGAATGTTGTAGCGGTCAATTAACCGCTAGAAATTTTTTTATTTTCTAGCGATTTACAACTGCTAGAAATTTTGAGGAAGGAGGGAAATTTGAATTTCCAGTGAGTAGGCAAATTTGAATTCCTTAGCAGTTATTTAACCGTTAGAAATTGAAAACATTTTTGTTTTGTAGTGGTTTATAACCGCTACAAAATATCTGTTAGAATAAATTAATATTTATTATATTAACTTTTACAAAAATATTAAAATAATAAATAGGTATTAAAAGTTATTAATAATATATGTATGCATAAAATTTAAAAAATTCCATGATATGTTAAATATTAAAATACATATTCTAAGAATGAATTTTAATGTTAAAAGAATATATGTTTAGCATGTTTTATATAATGCAACAATATATTAAGTAATACTTGATATAAATAAAATTATAGAAAGAAATAATAAAAGCAAGCAAGTAAACATAAAATTTAAATAAATATCCACATAAAACATAAGATAATAAAATCCTATACAAGCAAAATAGGGAAAATCAGGAGTGAGGAGCAGAAGCAGCATCATTGTGATCGTCGGTTGCTGGATCCTCCTACTGGTTCTGCTAGGGGTGGGCATGTAGCTAATCATGCTGGGGCAGGAATGACTGATGGTCGTGCAGGGGCGGAACTGGTGGCAGGAGTACGTTAGGGATCTCAGGAATCGGGTGTAAGAATGGCTGAACACCCAAGAGGGGGGTGAATTGGGTGTTAGTTAAAATTAAAAACATTTTCGCAATGTAATGAAATTCATGAGAAATTCTGAGTATAAAAACAATGAATCGACATAAGTATAATCACAATAGTAAAATGGTTTAGCTGGAAATAAAAAAAGGTAAGGGAAGAGAAGATGCAAATTATGATTTATCCTGGTTCGGTCCTCACTGACCTACGTCCAGTCCCCAGGCTCCCCTGAGATTTTCAATCGACTATCTCCCTCAAGTTTAAAACGGGTACTTGAGAACCACTACAACCACAAGTTTGATCCAGGCACTTGTGTCGCCACTTACAATCCTTAGACTAACCAGTCTAATTCAACAACAACCTCACACTGAGGTAAAAACTCCCCCTTACACACCGTAAGGATACGATCTAATAATGATAAGGAAGATTGAATATTTCTTCTCTCAAAGAAGTGATAGATGAATCTTAAGCACGTTTTGGAAACTCTCCTCTCTATCTTATGAATACATAAGTTTTAGAGTATGAAGTACAGAGACAAGGAGTTTTCTCTCGGAGCTCTAAATGAGAATATATTGATTCGGCATTTTAGCATTTGATGTTGTAAGCTCAGACTCTTCTTATTCTTCTTGTTTTGAATGCTCTTCTATTTATAGATGATATTGGGTACTTGACCGTTGAGCACTTTCTTCCCGTTTGGCTTGAAGAATATGACCGTTGAAACTAGCCGTTAAAAGCTTCTGACAAAAGTCGATTCTTCACATCATAAATTCGTTGTGGCTCTTTACCTGAAATAATCTTCCTCGGATCAAGTGATAAGTATCTGATAATCTTTGCAACAATAAGTTGGAAAACATGGAATCAATCATCAGATGTTCAGAAAGTAAGATGAACTTACTTAATCGATGCCTTAATCGATAATCCTTTGATCGATTATGTTATCGATTAATTACATGAAGAAAAGATATAGCAGATAGATGCGATTTATCGAATAGATTATGCATCATATGATGATCGAACAAATGATCGATAAATGATGAAGCATGAATACAGTGACCCAAAAATGATTTATGCAAGAATAAACCTTTTCAAGTTACATTTGCCTTCGTATCCTTTTAATAGAGAGTTATGTATAAAAAGAAGGCTGAGAAAAGCTTAAAGATAAAACGATAAAAGATTTCGAAATCATCGTGAAATGCTGTTATGAAATGAACTTGTACAATGATCGAACAAGTGATCGAATACTTGTTGATCGATCAGGTTATCGATAAACAAGGTGTTATAGAAACAGATATTAAACCAATAATAATCGAACACATTATCGATAAATGGATTATGGATAACCTTATCGATAAACAATAAGCAAAAGTATATTCAGTGAAAATACAGGCTATGTAGGTTAATCGAATAGGTGATCGATTAAGTAATGATCGATCAAGTGATCGATAAAGAAGTTTAATCCTGTATAGTCAAAGAACTGAGTTATCGATCACGTTATATGTAAAACAAGGCAAACATGAAGTGCTGTGATCGATCATATTATCGATAATGTGATTATCGATCTGGTGATCGAAGAACCATGATTTAAAAACAATGTACTGATTATCGATCATGTGATCGATAATTTGCTGATCGATCAGGTGATCGATAAGCTACCGAAATCAATACTTGCACGTAGAGATATGAAGCAATGTTTGATCATATTATCGATAAATGACTGATCGATAAGGTGATCGATAAATGGAGACTAAAGCAAAACATAGAATGAGTAGAACGCATTACCATTTATCTGTCTTCTCATCGATAATCTATTTATCGATCATGTTATCGATAAATGCCTATTTATCCATAACGTTAACCTTGTTTATCGATCAAGTGATCGATAAATACCTTTATCCATATCATTATCCGAAAACCATTTATCCAACATGTTACTGATAAAACCTTAATAATATGTATGAAGATAAAAGAGAAGAATTGAGGAGATAGTACCAGTAACTCGATGAGTATGTAGTCGCTTGATCAGGCTCGAGTAACATATGATAATGGCTTTTCATTTCTTCATCTCTTCTAGAGCTTTTACTCAATAACATCTTTGAGTAACATGTTGTTTAAGAGTTTAATCAATCTATGTAGAACTTCTGGTTTTTACCTCAATAATTTCGAATTCTGATTCAAGCAAAACGAAGGTCAACTTTGAGTGATCATAAATATTCCAATTCAGCTCCAAATTTTGCAAATGACCTATCCCCAGAAAGCTCTTTGAGTCTACTTTCTAATGCAACAAGAATTACCTCAAAATTAGTTGTGGTTGCAAAGTTATCTTCATCACAATGACTAAAGGTCGGAATGAAGGCGTTAATCCTTACTGCAATTTTTCGAACAACGTATCTCCCTCATATGAAACTCTTTGAAGGTGAATTTGGTGTCCATGAACCGTGTTCTGAGTCTAGTTTCATAATAATCAAGTTTCACCTCAAACGGATTTGTGATTTGAGAGATATTGAAGAAATAACAAACTTATGTCAGAGCTGAAGGAAGAACAGAGCATAACAGAGGATGTATTTTATCGATAACTTGATCGATAAATGGATGATCGATCAAGTGATTAATAATTGCCCATGAAAATCATCTCTGAAGCTTATTTTCCATGTTTATATGAAGGGTGACTCAATATATGATGGTATAACTTCCCGGTTGTATATTTTAGCTTCCGACTGAGCCATTCAAACTTCTGATTGAGTATAGCAACATTTAACATCAAATCTATGAACTTGAATCTTGATATTTTCATTTGATCTTGCAAGTTCTTCTTTTCTCAATCTCTCTTCTTCTTCTTCCTCTTGATCATTCTCCATAACTCAAAGTGCAACATAATAACTCCTTTCTTTTCTTGAGGAAACTACGCAAGATATTAAGTATGATCACAAGATATTAAATATGAGATAAATAATTTATGTAAACTTTTTGCTCTATTATTTGACATCATCAAAACTAATCATATCTAACATTCTCCCCTTTTTTGATGATGACAAATCCTTTGTTAAAAATATGGATGATATGAAATCAAATTCGATGCAACATATTTTTCATGCCTATCTCTCCCCTTATTTGACATCAGCAAAAAGTTTAAAGGACATGGCTCCCGTGTGAGGGGTAATCTCTCCCCCTATATTATTCTCGTCTCTTAGTGCATGCAAACCATGTAATGCATCAATGTTCAGAAATATAAGAGAGAGGGTTTAGAAATGCTCATTTGAATTCGGAAAGTTGATAAATTGATCCATCAAGTCCATTGCCAGGCATAATGCTCATTCGTATTGGCATTGGTGATTATGCTTAGAAGGTTGATGCCAATAATCTTTCTATCTTCAATCACTTTCTCTTTTCTCCATATCCTGATTGCGCATTAAATTATCAATCCTCAAATTTGATAATTTATCCTTATAGTCCAGTGAGGAGTTTCTTTCATAGCATAAATTCTCCTGTTATGAATTCAACAACTTCTTCCAAGGAGAATAGTTAGTACAATCACATATCAAATGTATACATAATCCTTTCTATAAATTGTTTTCGAATTGGATCATGAAAGGAAAATGTGAAAGCAACTCATCATCAAAACTAATCAATTGACAGTGAATGCAGATGAATATACTATTTTGACAAAGGAGATGAGCTTTTAATAGGGCTGTTCACGGGACGGGACGAGACCGGGACGGGTCCGTCCCGATGAATAGTAACGGGACAAGAAATTTGTCTCGTGTCCCGTCTCTTCTCGATATTGTCCCGGTCCCGACCGGGACGGGACGGGACCGGGACGTCCCGGTACCATTTTTTTTTTTTGGAAAAACGCTGTGGGCTTCTGAGAAATATTGTGGGCCTTTTAAAAAAATGCTGTTAGCCTTCTAAAAATGCTGTGTGGGCCTCTTAAAAATGCTGTGGGCCTTTTAATAGGAGGTTTTAAATGATCTGGGCCTTCAATAGGAGATATATTTTTCATATATAAACAATTTTACAATCTAAATAATAACATACAGCTTTATATATTTTTTTTCACCAGCAAATCAACCGACCCCTATTCCCTTCCCTGTCATCATCTTCAAGGTGCTGGTCATTGGTCAAAACAGAACCAACTAACAAGTAACAAGCCAGAAAATAACAAATAAAACCAAATCCATTGACTAGAAAATGGTTTCAAACCGTAAAGAAACATTACAAACAGTCCAAATGTCTAATGAGGCAATAAGTCCAATAGTCCATCACCAAATGACAACACTACATCATCAAAAACACTCATCCAGAAAATAAGCCAGAAAATAACAGAACCAAAACCATCCAGCAGCACACAATCCATCATTTACGGGTTATTTGGTTGTTCCTCTTCATGTAACAAATTTGAGGCAGCTGATTCTTCTACAAATGAAGACAGAGAAAAGAAAAATTGTTAATATGAAGTTGATAAATCAGATAGAAAAGGAATTTTAAAACTGTCCGTAACATATAACATGTGTGTGCATGTGTAGAGAGAGATGAAATGTTGATCATCATTAATTCATTATAGTCTTATAATATTCACACTTGCAGAGCCACAAAGCACACAAAGCACACAGAAGCATATGAATCAAGCATGAAGGTAACGAGTATGTTGTTCTAATACAGCCAGAACAGTTCATTAATATAGCATATTCTGATGATGCATGCTTTGAAACTCTCTCTCTCTCTCTCTCTCTATACGAAGTTACTTCGTGACATCTAAGAAAGGTGCTTGTGGTTTGAATGCAAAATATCCAATGAAAGCATAAACAAAAATAAGGAAAATGACTCCCAAGAGATTAAAGGGAAGGAGGGCCACATATTGCTCCATCAGAGTCAGAGCTACAGTGGAAGGCAATTTTGAATATAATTGGTTCTATTAATTATCAATAAGTTCAACCAATGAAGTTGCACTAAAAATCAGCACACATACATAGTTCTTAATTCTCATAATACGTTAACGAATGAAACATAAATACCATTCAATATAAAATATATGATATAAAATCAATAAAAAGATTTGCTAAGAATAAATTACTCAAATCTGATATTTAGTTTTTCCCAAACAAATAGGACATAGTAGCTCGGAAGTCTTGAATAGAGTAAGCTCAATTTTAATGTAGATAAAAATAGACAAGTGATTAAAATTAAAGAAATAAATGATAGATAAAAATACCCCCTCAATTATTCAGAGATCTCCCAATTTGGGGTTGGTTTGAGAATAATATTAAATCACGTCAATCTAACTCATCCTACTATTAATATATTTTATCAAGATGATGTTGTAAATATTATGTATGCTACCGCCAACAGATGAGTTCAACAAATACGTGAAATTCATGCCATGGTAACCTTTTTTTCTACAATATAATTGTCACAGAGCCAATTGTTGCGGCCTTTGATATAATTGTCACAGAGCCAAATGCCAATAGCCAAAGGGCGTAATCATATTAATATTAATACACGAAAATACTAATAATCAAACTAAATCTATTATCAAAATGAGAGAATTATATCAAATGTTAAAAAATTTTTGGCTTCAATCAAACACTACTAAAAGATAGATATTACCTTGTGCTGCAATCTCAGTTTCATTGAAGTCATCAATGTCTAGTCCTTTCAGCTTCACTGTTGATGGAGATAGCCAATTTTGTGTACAAATTAATGCCTCAACCATTTTTGAGGATAAAGAACTCCTGAAGTCATCGATCACACGACCCCCCGTGCTAAATGCAGATTCTGAAGACACGGTAGACACGGGCATGGGTAAAACATCACGTGCAATCATTGAAAGGACTTTGTACTTCATAGCATTAAGGTTCCACCAGGCCAAAATATCAAAGTCAAGCTCATGTGCTTCAACTAACTCAGATTGCAAATACTTCTCCACCTCTGCATACTTGTCTGATTGAGTCTCAGTCTCAAATCGGGCAACAAACCTCCGAGCTGATCGCTTAGGATGCACAGAAGTTATAATTGAGCCTGATTGTTCTGAAGCACAGGTAGATGCACTAGTAGTTTCACTTACAGCTGGTCTATTCCTTTGCCTTTGAATTTGCATATGAAACTGAGATGTGTCAAGCCCACTCGAATAACAATCATACAACTGATACAAGACAGTTGAGACTATTTTTGACATGTGTTCACGTTGTGCTTGGCTTTGAAACATCTCCTCAACAGCAAAGGTGAGATATTTCATTTTATACCTTGGGTCAAGTACCACTGCTATCACCAAAAGAGGGTTAAGAGTTTGCAAGTCACCCCAATACTTATCATACTTAATCTTCATCCTCATAGCCATCTCACATAGCAAAGAATTAGGATCCTCTGCATGTTCATTTAGAATGGTAAACACATCAACTATATTTTGGAAGCATATATTTGAGGTGATAGTGGTTGATCCAGAAAATTGCAATGTGATGTCATGGAACTCTTGCAAGAAGCTACAGAAGACTTTAGCTTGTCTCAAATCAAATGCATCAGGAGGACCAATTAAATTCTTCTCCAAGAAGTGGTTTGTGTAATCCCTATCTTCTTTTGCCATTCTTTCAAAAACACTGCTAAATTTAATAGCATTTTCCAGCATCATGTAGGTTGAATTCCACCTTATTAGGCAATCCATGCTTAATAGACTCTTCGAATCAATTTTCATTTTTTCCACTAGATCCTTAAACTTACGAAACCTTGCAGGTGAGGATCTTACATATTTAATAGCATTCCGAATGGCTTCAATACACTTATGCATCTCCTTCACACCATCAGAAACAATAAGATTAAGAATATGTGCACAACAACGCAAGTGCAAGAACTCCCCATCACATACTAGACCATTCCAATGTTTCAACACATCTCTCAAAGTTGATATTGCAATGTCATTTGAAGAAGCATTATCCACTGTTATAGTAAACAACTTATCAATGCCCCAGAATAACAAGCATCTCTCAATCTCTGCTGCAATAGTATCACCTTTATGGTTTTCAACCACGCAAAAATTCAAGATTCGCCTTTGGTAAGCCCAACGATCATCAATCCAGTGAGCAATTAGACACGTATAGTTGGTATTCTGATTGGAAGTCCATGTATCAGTGGTAAGAGAAACACGAGCATTTAAAGCTTTAAAATACCTTTTCAACCTTCTTGCTTCTTCATAATACAGCTTTAAACAATCCCTATTTACTGTTGCTCTTGAGGGAATTTGAAAGCGAGGTTCTAGTGTCTTTAATAGCTCTTTAAAACCTTCACCCTCCACTATTCGAAAAGGCAGTTCTCCCAATATTAAAAATTTGACTAGAGCTCTCCTACACAAGTCTTGACTAAAGACATGATGAGTCAAACTTTTACCACCAGCCCCTATTGAGAACATGGATTGCTTCAACTTGTTAGCCCTATGGGGATTTCTAGGACACCTCTGTAAATGTTTAACAAGTCCACCTGTCTCATGTGTGGTAGGATGGCAAGCAATTGTTGTTGGGCAATACTTGCACTTTGCCCTTGGTTCTCCATTTTTCCACTGCTCTGGAGGCAACTTCTCAAAATGTAACCAAGCTAAAGATTTTTTTCTCTTTCTTGATCCATCAACATTTGATTCATCCCCCTTATCTTCACCTTGTGATGTAGTGATTTGATCTACATTATCTGCTTGTCCTGAACCTCTTTCAGCAGTTTGTGACTGTGTTTCAGTGTTTTCTTCAGTTGTTTGAGTGTTTCCTTCAGTAGTGTTTGTGACAGAGTTCATCTTTGTTCACAAAGAGAAGTTCTTCAAAATGATCATAAAGGTTCAATTAGCTTTCAAGAATTTATTGTAAAATTTTCGTACAGTTTTAATAGCATCATCTAGAAATCAAACACTGAATCTACAATTATATATATTAATATTACTACTTCACAGACCATCAACCGAATGATACATACAAATTATTAAACAATTCAACAACCAGAAAAATTCAGAGAACCAGCGAATGAGGCAAATTAAATCGGTGGGTTTTACTCATTTCACAAAAGATTTTCTTTTCTCTATGTCGTTTGTGAAGAATATCAGACAAATCTCAATCAGCCAAAGTCCATATTCATACGAAGAAAGCAGAAATCTCGTGCTAGATATTAAGATGAAATCAACAAGCATGGATGAAAACTCACGAGTATGAGAAACAGAGAAAGCAGAAATCGAATGGTTGGAGACAAGATGAGGCCAGTCTGCAATCTACCCGACGCCGACGATGGACTGGCGGCTGGAGAGAAGCTGCTAAGGTTGCGACTTCAATGGACTAGGGACTGTGACTCTATGAGTGAAGAGCTGAAGCCGAGATGAGAGAGGCAGAGTAAGTATAGCCAAGTAGCCGACGGCCTCTTTCGCACTTCGCAGATCAGACAATAGCCGAGAGCGGAGACTGAGACTCTGAGAGGCAACTGCCGACTGGTGAGAGTGCGAGACACCGGACACGGTTCATTGCTCCATCGGCCGTCGCTGTCTGAAATCCGAAGGGAACGAAAGTGAAGGCGGAGACCGGAGAGACCGAGAGAGTCAGAGAGGCAGAGATGGTCGGGTTAGATACTCAGAAATCAGAATGACAGAATCTCAGATGGTTTGGGCCTTTGGGGGGGCTTAGGGCTTCCTCGGTTCCGCCTTCCGGTTCATTTTTTTTTTAAAACTTTTTAACATATAATATATAAATATAATATAAGATGTTTAAAAAATATATATATTGGGACGGGACCGGGACGGGACGACCCCGTCCCGTGTCCCGTCCCGTCCCGGTCCTATTTCTGTCCCGTCCCAGTTTGTCTCGTTCCAAAAAATTTCGGGACGGATCCGTCCCGTTCCAATAAGACCGGAACCGGGACGGGTTGACCGGGACGAGTCAAGTATGAACACCCCTAGCTTTTAAGATATAAGACACATGTGAATGTGAAGTTCCCCGTTAATCAGAAAATTGATAGGGTGGAGACTAAGGATGATTGAATAAGAATAGTTGAAACACAATGCATAATTATAGATCACGTTAAAGCAATTGATCGAATATGTTATGAATAATTTTTGTAGTGAGAGGTCATACCTGTCTAAGTTGATCGATCATGTGATCGATTAATCAATGTTCGATTAATAGATTGATAAACCTTACCCATTTGACTGATTGACCGAATAGTCTCTTTCTGCTGTTGATCGATAAATTATTTGATAATTGAGTTATTGATCAGGTTATCCATAATTCTGCTCCCCATCATTTCTAGTCAATTCCATATATCCTGTTGATCGATGAGTTGATCGATAAATTGGATTTATCGATAAGGTGATCGATAAATTGAGTCTTCTACGAGACATGATTATCGATGCTTTTATCGATCAATCCCTACTCTGTTGACCTCTGTTTTTCAACATCAAAACAGAGCTTTCCTGCAAAACAAATTTCTATCCTCTTCGATGCTTAAGTTAGTTTTCTAATCATCAAAACATTAAATCTAAATACTCAAAATAAAGAAGTAATGTAGAATTTCTTACAGCCCATTGGGATTTACCATTCCCAATTCTCTTCTAAAGTATTTGGACTTTTGCAGGTCGAGAGGCTTTGTGAAAATGTTAGCTATTTGATATTCGGTAGGAATGAGTTCTACTTTTACATCTTTCTTTTGAACATGGTCCCGAATGAAGTGATGTCGAACATTAATATGCTTGGTTCGGGTATGATGAACTGGATTCTTAAACAGGTTGATTGTGCTTGTGTTGTCACACAGGATTGGGATTTCCTTCAACTTGATTCCCAAATCTTGTAATTATTGTTTTAACCATAAAATCTGAGCACAATAGCTGGTAGTGGCAATGTATTCTGATTCTGTAGAAGATATGGCCACAGTGTTTTGTTTCTCACTAGACCACGAACAAGACAGCCTCCTAGGAATTGGCATTGTCCACTGGTGCTTTTTCTGTCTGTTTTGTATCCTCCGTGATCAGCATCTGAGTATCCCATTAGATATTCTACTCCTTTCTTTGGATACCATATTCCCAGGTTTGGTGTTCCAACAAGATATCTGAGGATTCTCTTAGCGGCTTCTTCATATGATTGCTTGGGAGTTAATTGATTGCTGGCACACATTCCCACACTAAATTGAATGTCTGGTCTGCTTGCCGTGAGGTAGAGTAGTGATCCAATCATCCCTCTATATTTAGTCAAGTTCACATCCTTGCCATTCTCGTCCGCGTCCAATGATATGGTTGAGCTCATAGGTGTATTTGCACTCTTGGCGTGCTTCAGACCATATTTCTTCAGAAGTTCTTTGAGATACTTTGTTCGAGATATGAAGATCCCATTCTTCTTCTGTTTGATTTGCAACCCGAGGAAGAAATTCAATTCTCCCATCATTGACATCTCCATCAATAGAATTTTATCTTATAATTCTTTAGGATGCCTACAACACAAATATTAGTTCTTCGGTACCCAACTTCTCTTGGGTCCACACCATGTTAGCTATAATGACTCTCATGCTCTTATATGGATTAAACCATATGATTTCTGAGCAAGGAAGGTATCAAAAGATTTTATAACTAAAAGATCATCAATCATAAATTCTTTTGAAATCAGATTTGATCAGATCAACTCTATGAAAAACTAAGAGCTTGCGTGAAAACAGGTTAGCCATGAATGATCATGAATTTGAAAACGATGATTTATTCAAATCATAAGCGTTATGTAAAAATATGCACATGAAGCTAGAAGATAAATAATGCTTCCTTTGAAATAAGGTTTTTAACGCACTTGTTTAAAATATGAATGTTGAAAACAAAGTTTTTTAAAAAAACTTGTTAAAAGTAAATACTTTTGTTTTAAAAAAAATGTGGAAGTCAACAAATTGAGGGAAAATATCATATAGCTTCAATTTATAAGATTAGATCGGATAACATGTCAAACAACAATATTAACACGTTAGAGAGTTTTTCTGAGAGTAAAAGTCATATGGATAAGATGTTAGCCGAAAGGCTTTTCACAATGGAGGTTCAAAGACTTTGCTCACACTCAAATACTGGATTTTTGAATAATGAAGTACATTAACTCTTTAGTCCAAATGACTAGTAGGTTAAATAGATTCTAGAGGCTATATAAGTCATTCCATTGAAATGTTTAATCGCATAATCATGCTTGGAATAACTCAGTCAATAATGATAAACACATCAAGCATAAGAATTTGACGTATTGGAATCTTTCCGTAAAGATAGACTTGAAACTCATATGGATGGTTAACTTGTTAGATTGAAGGTCTAACTTGTTCAAAAATAGGATTTAGGAGTTCAAGTATAGGATAGCACATTAAGATCAGGAATTAACACGTTAGAGATGGAGAAAACTCTATTAGAAGGATTTGAAGCATTTCTGACTTTTAGCACTCAAAATATTAACTTCCAATTTTGAAAATCATTTGAATGCAAAACAAAAATGAATATCTTTCAAATCATTTGAATGCAAAACAAAAATGAATATCTTTCAAATCATTTGTATGCACTTTCACAATGAGTTTTAAAAAAAAATTTGGATTGTGCATTTGAAAATACCAACACATAGAAAACTATGCACAATTCTATTTTCGGTCCATTTAGCAATCAGAAAATAATTTAAAGACTATAAAAGATTGATTGCTAATGGAATGCAACAAGGAACAAGCATTCATTACCCAAATATGAATTTCATATCAGCACAGTAAAAGGTAAAGATTAGATATCACCATATTTCCTCTTGTCCTTGTGGCAGCTTGCTTGATTTTGATGGATTAGTGTTGATTTTTCTTCTTTCCACATTCAGTGCCAAAATCCATATCAGATAAGCTTTCTCAAGATTTGTTCATCAATTCCTTTGTGGTCACAATCTTGAGGAAAGGCTTGCTCCCTTCTTCCTTAGGTACTTGGAGGATTGCTTTTGCATACCCAATGCATCTTTCTGTGAAGTTGAGACTTCTGATTCCTCGCTTTGGGTGCTTGCAATGTTCTCTCATAAAATGTAGACTCAATGAGTCTTCTACTTAATGCTTGAGAGATCCTCCTTTTCTTGTTCTCCTCAAGATAATCAAATTTTACACTGTGGTAGTCCATCCTTGAGGTGCAACGTACTCCTTTGGCTTGTATCCATTGCTTCTTATAATTGAACTTTGTAATTCCAGCAATGGGTGCTCTAAGAGTTCTCTTATTGATCATGTGAGTAACTCTCTTAGGCACTTTCTTCTTCTTTGAGCCAATATGTCCGTTCTTAGAAATATCCTGTAAAATTGAAATACTAGAAGAACATTTTGGTACCCATTTTGCTTCGGGTCCTTGACTGTTAGCATTGGACCTTACTTGTCCTCTAGGAACCCAAACAAATTTATTTCTCATATTAGGATTTCTTCAAAAATAGCATATTTGAGAAATGTGACCTAATTTACCACAATAATTGCAAATAACAGAATGATATCCATGAGATTTTATGCAAATATTGCATTGGTCAAAAGAATGCAATTTTAAATGATTTCTCTTTGTAATTTCTTTCTTCCCAGTAAATTTTCCAGCATGTTTAAAAACATTTTTACTTTTAAAAACAGAATCAATGACTGGTTGATCAATAGTTTTATGCAAACTTTCAAAATCATTTTCCACAAGTAATGTACGAGAAGAATTAGGACCATTTACCTTAAGTGCATCTTGAGCTCCAAATAATGATTCATCATATTCATCCATATTGAGCTCTTCTTAATGCTCATCTTCCTCTTGTTCTTCTT